GGGTTTTGGGTTTTGGGGGTTCCTTATTATAACTCTGGTATAATGGGAGCCAAAACCATATTCTAATCATTAAAGCCCCTTTTCTTAAGGCTTAAGGGCCCAGTAGGGCCCAAAGTTTAAGGTTCCGGGCTGACGGGTAAGGCGGTATGGGGCTCAGGGCTCATGTCGTAGGATGTCAGGCTTTAGGGTTTAGGGTTTAGGGTTTCGGGCTTATGTAGGGTTTAGGGTTTAGGGTTTAGGGTTTAGGGTTTAGGGTTTAGGGTTTAGGGTTCAGGGTTTAGGGTTTAGGGCTTAGGGCTTTGGGCTTAGGTCAGGTTTGGAGCTGAGGGCCTTTCGGGTCTTTCCGGCTCTCAGGGTCCAGGTCGTGCGGAACATCGGGTTTAGGGTTTAGGGTTTAGGGTTTAGGGTTTAGGGTTTAGGGTTTAGGGTTTAGGGTTTAGGGTTTAGGGTTTAGGGTCCAAACGCCGGTGACTCTCCCTGCTGCCCCCACAAGGTTGGATGATACATAGGTATAATCACACATCCCCCTATGGTCCCTAAGTCGATGATCATACTTTTTCTAACTTCCCCCAAAACACTTGGGTAGTTCTCTAAATTAGGGTCCCTTTTGGTTCCCGAATAATTATGGTACGGCACCCTTATAATATGGACCCTAAAAGGGGCCCTAATTTGGAAAACTACCCACTTAGATCCGGCCTCTAGCAACTGCAACACCTCCCAGGCGGCGGCAGGTAGCTTCATCTTTGCGCATGTAGCCTGGGCATCCGCCGACTGGAAGCTCTCAAAGGCCATCAACTGCTATCTGTCGGAATGCTTTTAGGGTTTAGGGTTTAGGGTTTAGGGTTTAGGGTTTAGGGCCCTAAAATCTCTGTCAAGGTCGTCTGTTTTTGGCCTGGTGTTTCCCTGCATACAGAAGGGAAAAGCAAGACCGCTTATAAACCCGGCCTTTCTCTGAGATCGACATGCAAAAGCTGAGGAAGCAGATGTTGAATCTGCTTACAAACCCCACCCTAAACCCTAAACCCTAAACCCTAAACCGTCCCCTTCGGATCAACCTCGATGCCATGCTGGGGTAGTTGCTTATGTCACTCCTCTTCTACAGCCTCGCACGGCCCCGGTGCGTCCATTTTGGGCATGAGCCCTGTTAGTTTGAATATTGCTTCTGGTCAAGTTGATCCCCCTGTTGCAACCAATAGAATATCATAAGCCTGCACTGCACACTCAGGTTATAAGTACCGCAGTGTTTCTTCAGCCGGCTATTTGCACCCTGAGCCTCCAAGTAGCGTGCTGTGGCGCTACTTCATTTGGGATGCCGACGGTGGATTTGGTCTGTGAGTTTTAAAATCGGAAAAGCTTCCGGTGGTATCCAAATTCTACGAGTTTGGTGCAGCATTTGCTTGGGGATTGACAGGCATCTTCACGTTTTCACATCCGGGAGCGGCCCAACCTAAATGGCAGATCTGGATGGAAGCGCTCCAACCTGCAATCTTCTGCGCAGGGCACTCAAAACTGAGGCCGAGTCATGCCGGCCAGGATTCAAATCACAAGCTCTTCAGCCGGCACTGCATCCCCCACGAAACATTGCCAGGTGCTGCTTTATATGTGTGTATATATGTATATATAGATATGCATCTATATATATATATATACCCACATAACAGATGTAAATAATCGGACCGTGTAAAGTGGGGGCCGCGTGCGCTGCACACGAGCGACTCCGGCGACAAGCCAAGAAGCGTCTGGCACAGGCATGCCGTGACAGCCGTGCGCTCACCCCCTCGACCGCACATCGCCAGAGTCCGCGAATTTAGCCTAAAAAGGCATTATGGCTACGAGTCATGCACCTGTGGGCCTCATCTATACATCTCCGAAGCCTAGTCCATGTACTCACCCGCCGTGATCGGGATGGAGGCCCTGCCATCCATGCTTGCATCCGAGGGACCCGGACCTGCCTGGCTCCTTCCACCACGACGAATGACCGCCTTCTTGTGGCCAAGGCTGAGGATGCAAGTCGGGCGGGAGAAGACCGCCACGGGCAGGTAGGGCTCAAAGACGATCTTCAGCACCTGGCAGGCCAGCGGCCGAATGGTAACGCTGGTAAGGGCCGCCACGTCGCCGGAGTCGAGCATCACCAGGTCGCCCGCCTTCAGCTTGCCAGCCTCGAGGTAGAGGCTTTCCTCCACCTCGCCCTTCGCATCAGCCACCTGCACCAAGTGGTCTGGAGTCACCCGCAAAGTTGCAGTGCCCGCCTGCAACTCCACGACCTCGCTGGCATCGCAGATCTCCGGCGTCTTGGCCACCTCCAGGATAGAGGCATCATCTCCGGCCACCACCTGCGACCCTTTCTTGAGGTCTCTGCCCATTAAGAAGAAGTCCGCCCCGTAGCTACGGGTCTTGAAGATGGCATCGACCATGAAGCAGTGAGGCTTCATGGCATCCGGCTTCACTGAGAACCACGAGGAGCAGCTCAAGACCGAAGAAGATGTGCCGCCGTCATCCACGACGCTGTAACCCAGCTGCTCAGCAAGATCGGGCTCCTGGCTGTTGGAGGCCACTTCACTGAATGCCAGGCCATGGCAAGCGAGCGCACCAGCATGATGGGCTTCGCGTTGCTTCGGCGCACGAAGCTGGCGCTCCAGCTCACGGATGCGCTCCTTGTGCATGCCCTTCTCTTCCCACAAAACCTGCAGCTGACCGAGCATCCCTGATCTTTCGGCCTCTGCCTTCGCCAGCAGCTGCTGGAGCACCGACTTCTCGGCCGGGCTCCCGGCCTCTGCCAAGCGCGCCTCCGCGAGCTGGCTGCGCTCCTGGTAGCTGCGACTCTCCTCTTGCAGCCGCTCCACCTCCATCCTCCTTTCCGCAGCATCGGATTCGGCTTGTGAGAGATGCTCTTTGGTCGTGGCATGCTCAGCTGCTTCTGCCTCCAACCGAGCCACGAGCTCCTCACAACGCTCTTGGCACTGGCTGTGCTCCTCCTGCAACTGCCCGAGCTCCTGCCGCATCTCCGCCACGGCTGCCTCCGCACCTGTTGCGCGACGTACGAGCTCTTCGCACCGCTCCTTGCACTTGGCGCTCTCGCTCCGCGCAGTTTGGAGCTCCGCGGTCTTGAATGACACCTCCGCCTCCGCCACAGCCAGGCGATTGCGTAGCTCTCGGCCCTCCTCCTGCGA